TTTTTTTGCTCCGCGGGTCTTGAATTTTCGGACAGTGATCTACTTGCAGCCGTCAGCATCCATCCCTGGAAGTGGCTTAGAGTGCATTTCACGCTGAAAAAAAAAATAAATAATAAAAATAAAAATTGATCTGTGCTTCTCTGGCAAAAGAACTGGCTTCCCTTTAAAATGGCTCAAGCGATGGGAACGCTGCCACAGTGCTCCGGCCAGTGACACAGCAAACTGCTGCATTGCTACTGCTGTCCTTGCCCAGGATGCCCAGTAATCAGCTTAATGAAGGCTCTAATTCCTTCATTTGCAAGTCTGCCTTGCTTCACTTTGGCACTGACTTTCTACAGTAGTGTTTGTGCAACTCCTCCCAGAACCCTCTGAGGAGCCATTTCACCCGTGGACCTGGTGAAACTCCCGGGTTGGGCAATGGCTGGCAGGCCGGCCGCCTTCCCAACGGCAGGCTGGATTGAGTGGGACTGTTTTGGTGCCTCCCTTCCCGGGTGCCACCCCCTCCCGGGTGCCTCCCCAGGGCCTTGGTGCCAGCTGCAGCCGTCCCACCTCCTAAAATGCCTGGCAGAGTTGCTGGAGCACTTGAAATGTTGACGCTGCTCCAGATGTCGCTGCGCCCTGCCTGAGCACGAGGGCTTCTGCAATGTCCCGGGCTCTCATTAACACAGCCCTCAGAAGAAAAGGAGCTGCTGAGCCCTGACAGCTCTCTTCAGCAGGCAGGAAGGAGAGGAAAGGGGGGGCCTGCCCGGTCGCTGGCACCCAGCCTGGAGCACGGGCCATTGGTGGGCAGGAATGCAGATGAGATGTAATGGAGTTGGAAAGCTTTAGGGCACTCTCAGGATGTGGGTCCTGTGGGGGAGGGAAAGGCACCCTGCGAGGTCTGGAGCAAACAAACCCCATAGCCCCAGCCCTGTGCCTGCCTTTCTCCTCCTTGAATAAGATCCTGCAGAAATTTGGGGAAAAGGAGGAGAATAGAGCTGTTGGGGGGCAGCAGCTCAATTCAGGAGGGTGAGGGTTAGGCAGGAGCGGGGCATAGGGGAGATATTTGAGGTGAAGGTACCTTCTTTTGCCTGCCAAGTGTGCTGTGTGAGGGTGGCCTGGAGCAGGTCTGGTTGGTTTGAATGCTTCCCTTGGCCCCAGTTTTCCAACCCTTTGCTCCAGCTCCTGCGGTGTCCCTTGGGCTGTGTTCCCTCCCCAGTGTTGGTTTTCTGGTGGTTTCCTCATGCAGGCTGACTTGTCTGTCGCTGCCCCGTGAAATCTAGGCTGACCCCAACTAGGGTTTTGTCTGTGAGTTCGCTGGAGGTGGAATTAACACCATTTTTCTTGGGTGTCCCAGAGATTTTATTTTCTTTTATTCCAGCAAAATTGAGGGAACACTTCATGTTGCTTGGCTTGAGGAGCTCAGCAAGGAGCCTGGTCCAGTGTCTATGTCCTGCTGCGTTGCTCCGCGGAGGTGATGGAGCCGGTGCTGCTCAGTTGAACCTGTGATTGGGCACACCAGGCCGTGGAAGGTGAGACCTTGCTTACGTTGCAGGGCTACTGCCACAGCAAGAGAGGAGTGCTCCGTTGTCATCCGTGTGGTATTCTCAGTTTCATGTGCTGCAATTAAACCAGCTGCCAAATAATGATGTGGCAAATCTGGGCGGTGTGGCCTCCTCCGATCTGCTCCTGGAAGCTGGGCAGATGAGCTGGAGTGGAAAATATCTGCTCTGTGCATCCTGGGTCATGGTGATGATTTATGACTTTAAGTAGATCTTAAATTTGCAGGTAAAACGTTTCCTACCCAGACATACCAAAGACGGTACCAGTTCCTCCCGGTCCCCCCCCAGGTCCCTGCGAAGGGAGCGAGGGCAGCGTCGCTGCCGTCCTTTCGAGCAGGGATGAATCAGCAGAGGGTGAATAGCAGAAAGGGGCTGGTACTGCCGTAGTCTCTCTGCAGACACAAGCTACGTGAATGCATTCATCACATCCTGAGAATGCACCCCGGATTTTCTTTTACGTCTATTGTTATTATAGGCTGGTTGGGCTTGAAAGGTAGAAATCGACTGTATCCAACCAAGCCTGTCTCACGTAGTCGGTGATTCCCAGCTGCCAGTGAGGGTTACGAGGGGCTTTCCTGGCCCTTGTAGGTGTGAGCCCGGCAGAGCCAATGCAGGGTGTGGGAAGCAGTCGGGGTCCACATCCACTCCATACGTTATTCCCTGTCTTGGCAAAGCCACAGAAACTGGCAGGTTTATCGCACAGGCGCTGCCAAAGGTCTTGTCTGAAATGGTGTCTTAGTAGAGGTGTGACTGGTGCCACCAGTGGAAAAGAGCCACCTGGATTGGAGTGTCCCAGCTGACTGGGAGGTGGCAGGTGGCACAGTTTTCACTGGCTTTCTGAGGCTGTTTGGAGAAGCTAATCAGGGAAATGAGCTTTTTCTTTTATTTAAAGAAAGAACACATTTTAAGTGGTGCTGTGCTCCATGTCAAGAAGAGCTTCACTGAGTTCATCAGTCCCATCTTGTGAAGGCTGGAGAGAGAGGAAAACTGCTGAGCCTCCCCTGCAACTGGTATTTCCGAGGTGCTCGGAGGGGAGTTGGATGTGAACTTCTCCAAATGGTTTCCGAAATGCCAGGGCCAGGTGACGGAGTTGCCGTGATTGTATCATGAGTCTTGCATTGGTTGCGTGTTTTTCTTGGAGTCAGTTCCTGGAATCACACAATTAGGTAGGAACGTGTTCTTTAATTTTCAAGGAAGAAAGTCTGTTTCAGGATCTCCCCATCCCCAGACCTTCACAACTAAAGGGAAGGAAGAAGGTCCTGGGTCAGCTTACCTGGCCATTTTGAGATATTGGTGTTTTGCAGCCAGGTTCATGCTTTTAAAAATGGACAGTAAAAGCCTTTCTCCATTTTCTGAAGCATAGTCCTTTCCAGCACTTCAAGGCTGAATACGTAAAAACCCAACTGCTCTTCCCTTGTCTCCTCTCCAACCCAGCACCGAGGCGATCAGAGTAACTCTTTGTGTTTGCAAAAATGATCCATTTTGGGTGCACAAAACAAGTTCTGCAGGGCCTAAATGATTTTGGTGAGATCTTAGCAGCCTTTGAGGCTCTCAGCCTGTTGGTGTTGCCCACACCTCATTGACTTCAAGGAGATTCCTGCTGGCTATTAGTCTGGGAAAGGAGATTTGAGAGCTGATGAGCTTAATGAACTAAAGCCACAGCTCAGCTGCCGAATGGGGACTTGTGCATCGCAAGAACCTCTATGATGGTCCTTAGCCATGGCTTTGCTATGTATGAATGGAATACATCTCCTCCCAAAGTTAAGGATGCCAAGGTTGGGTGTTGAAGGCTTTGCTGTGTAGTGCAGCTGAAGACCAAGTAATGTGCCACAGGAGCCTGGAGCTGGGCTTTAGGGCTGGCCGGGGGCTCAGCAGCCAGGCATCCAGGGTCACCCAGCACCCATCCCCTGTCGCTTTGCTTGCAGGCTCTGCTAGTAGTGAGAGGATGCAAAGTGAGAGAGAACAAGAAGGCAGGGAGTGCTGGGAGGGCATTTCTAAAACATCCCCAGGCTCCTACTGCTTCTTGATTTATTTATTTTTTTAATTCATCTTCATTATTCTCAAGTCCATCTTAAAATGGGTAGTTTCAAAAAATCTCTGCTTCATCTTTGGCTTTCCCTGCCCGTGCCCTGTCTAAGGACACTCTGTAACGAAAATGCAGCTCTTCCCGGTTTGAGGTGGAAGAAAAGCCTCGTTTCCTCCTTTTGCATCAGCATTAAAAGGAAAAAAGGCTTTTTGGGCAAGTCCCTGCCTGGAAAGTCCCACACCCTGCCGCTGAAGGAGGCTGTTCCCTGGGGAGCCGTGGGGATGGGATGATCCAGCCTGGCAGCAGAGTCCTCGGCAGCCCCGGCTGTTCCCCGGGCAGCCGGAAACAGGAGCATCCCCACCCCGGGGCTTCGGCGGATGAGCAATGGCGTGGCTCACCTCAAAAGGAGCCGGAGCCCCAGGGTGCGGGCTCTTGCACATCTGCCTTTAGGTTAGATGCTGCTTTTGCATCTAAAAAAGGATTCAAAGAATTTGGGCTCCCTGGGAGGGAAGGGTGAGCCGGATGGGGAGGATAATGGCAATTACGCTGGCGCTGAGCACCTCTCCTTCGCTGTGATAACCCAATCAAGCTGATGAGCCCTTAGAATAAGGACTTTAGCCCAGGGTAAAATAACGGTGATGACATCCCTAAGCACAGGGAGGGATCTTTGGCTGGAGAAAGACAAGCTGTGTGTCTGGTGATAGCAAGGGACCCCGACTTTCAGAGCAGCCCTGCACCACGGGCTGGGCTGTGCCTCTCTCCCTCCTCGTTGGCCAGCAAGGTGTGATAATCCCTTAAGCATTTAATTACAGCTGGCAGGGCTCGATGAAACTATCTTCTGCCCTGTTTGCATCAGCCTGGACCCACGCAAGGCACATGGCAGCAAGGCCATGAGGGTTGTGTCTGACAGGCTGTGTCCCCCCCCCGAGCTGGGATGTCTTGGGGGGCCCTGTAACTCCCCCAGACCCGTGCCCAGTGTGGAGGCCTCTGCCCTCCTCTGCCACGGCAAGGCTTGGCTCTGGCAGGCTTGTTTTTCTAGCATGGCAAGTCCGCCTAAAATACCTAGGTGGGGCCCAGCAGGGCTAATGGCCTTCCTGGGGACAGAGCCAGCAAGCCAGCCCTCGAGGAGCGATAGGCACCCCCAGTGCCAGGGGGAAACCCCCCTCCTTGGCCTCAGGAGGATGGGAGGGAGCAGAGGGCTGGATTTCATGGCCGTGTCCACCCCTGGCTCTGCCCTGGGGGCGCTGGGCAACGGGGCACCTTCCTTCCTCCCTCCCCGGGGCGCCAGTGACGTGGGTGTGTGTGCGTGAGCAATGGCACGGCCTGGCACGGGGCAGCCGAGGATGGAGGCCTGCTTGTTTTGGGACCTGGAGGAAGCTGGGTTTTGGGGCCCTTCTGGGTTATTCCCTGTCACGCAGCCCCTGTGGCAGGGTTTGGGGTGACGGCAGCCTGGTTGCCGGGGGTGCCCGGCAGCCGCTGCCTGGTGACACTGGCTGACATGGGGGCAACCCACCCGGGGGTGCTGGCCTAGGGCCTCCCATGGGGGATGACTGTAATGGCGGCACCACCACAAGTTTTGGGGCCTGAATCGGCCGCTTTTTGCCTTTTTCCCTCGCTTTATCAGAATATTATAATTTTCATTCTCCCCCCTATCCCATCAGGGCAGCGCCCCTCTGATGGGGGGTTGTGTGTGTCGGGGGGGTGTGTTTTGGGCACCCCCCAGCGCTGTGGGGGAGTTGGGGGGGTCCGGGGGTGCGCCCCCTGCGCCCGATAGGGGGCGCTGCGCTGCGGGCGTCATTAGCCCCGCCCCTTCTGCCCGCCCCCCTCCCCTCAGTGGGCGGGGCCTGCGGGCGGCCGTAAAGGCGGCGGGCGGCGGCGGGCGGCCTGGCGGGCGATGTGGCGGCGGCGGCGGGCGAGGGGCGGCGGCGGTGGGGGGGAGGAGGAAGGCGGGGGGTGTCGCTGGTGGCCGGTGGTGGTCCTGGTGTTGTGGTTGCGGCTGGCTGTCTTAAATCCCCGCTGTGTCCCTGCCCCTTCTCCTGTCATCCTCACACCCTCCCCGCGCCCCTGAATTCCTCCTGCGTCCTTGTCCCGTCATCCTCCTTTCCATCAGCGCTCTTAAACCCTCCCTGCATCCCTGGCCCTGTATCCTCAGCCCCATCAGCACCTCTGCATCCCCCTTGCCATTTCCCCATCAGCACCCCTAAATTCCCCCTGCCCTGCCCTCTCTCAGCACCCCTATACCCCTCTGCCTCCCTGCTCCAGCCCCTGGTGGGAAAGCCCACCTCCCTCTTCCCCCCCTGCCCTTGATGCCCAGCCACCCCCCTGCGATGGCCAGGCCCAGCGTAGCAGCATCCCTGGAGCCCCTTTGGCTGGGAGAAGCTCAGGCTGAGCCTGCCCCAGGCGCAGGGGGGTCTCTTTCCCCCTGCCAAGACCCTCCTCAATCCCGTTCCTCCCCGGAGCCCGCAGGGAGAGGCTGGTTGCCATTTCCCCATCAGCACCCCTAAATTCCCCCTGCCCTGCCCTCTCTCAGCACCCCTACACCCCCCTGCCTCCCTGCTCCAGCCCTCCTGGAGCGTTGGCCTGGTGGGAAAGCCCACCTCCCTCTTCCCCCCCTGCCCTTGATGCCCAGCCACCCCCCTGCGATGGCCAGGCCCAGCGTAGCAGCATCCCTGGAGCCCCTTTGGCTGGGAGAAGCTCAGGCTGAGCCTGCCCCAGGCGCAGGGGGGTCTCTTTCCCCCTGCCAAGACCCTCCTCAATCCCGTTCCTCCCCGGAGCCCGCAGGGAGAGGCTGGCAGGGTGCTGGGGCCAGCTGCTGATCCCAGCTGGTCTCTTCCCGGCTTTGACCTTGATGCCTGGCCTGGCCGGTGCCCAGCCCTTCTTGGGGACCTGCACACCCTGCTGCTGGGCCCCTCGCCCTGCTAGGGCTCATCCTGCTTCCCCCCTCCTCCCACCTCCCCCCCGGCATCCTGGGGTGCGCAGGACTTGTCCCTGTTATTGCGCTAATTGATATAGCGTGGTCGCTGCCGGGTGAGTCAGGGCGCCAGCCAGGGCGAGCATCCCATCCCTCCGAGGGGATGCCGTTCCTCCCAGGGGATGCCGTCAGCGCTCCGCAACGGGGCAGGATGTGAGGAATGGGGTGAGTGCCCGGGCCCTGCGGGGGAACGCCGGCTCTCCTGGCCCTTCTCCAAAATGGGTTTCCCCCCCCCCTCTCAGGGCTCCCTGCTCTGGAGGCTGGACTGCGGATGGGGTGCCCGCCGAGGCGGGGTGAGGAGGCGGCCCCCGTGCCACTCAGCATCCTTGCTGCCGTTCCCACGGGTGGATTTTTGCAGGAGGGAGGATGCTAATGCGGGGGCGACCCACGGGTCCCACGTGCCCCACGTGCTGATGAGTCCAGGAGCGTGTCTGGCTCTCAGCTGCAGGGCTTGGCACCAGTCCTCCTGTGCCACTGGTGCAGGGGCAGTGCAAAGTGGCTCATCTGCCCCGTCACCTGCGACACAGGATGGTCCCAGTGGGTCCCCACCTGCAGCAGGCTCCCACTTCAGGCAGCATGGACTCCATCCCTGTGTGGGAACCATTTCCCTCCCTGTCCCACTCAACAGAGAGGCTGGGTGTTCTGTGGCTTGTGTCCTTGACACTAAAAAGAAACTATTTCAGTGCTTTTATCTCTATTCTGTTGCTGGCATTCAGAGCCTGTCGCTCGAAATACCTCCCTGTCCCCTTTTCTTCATCTGTTTTACCCTGGGGACTTGCTGGTCCTCCCCGGGGAGGTGGTGGAGAGACGCAGCAGGGGAGAGGATGCTCGGCACCTGGGCGGGCTCCGCCGCAGTGTCCCCATCACTGGTTTTGAGTAGTTCCCTCTGGGTTATCACCCGTGCCCTTGATCTGGGGTGAGAGACGAGCCGGAGCCTGTGTTCCCTGCTCTCCCCCAGCTGTGGTTAGCCATCCTTCCCTCCCTCCCCTTCTCCCGGCGGCCTCTTCCCGCCGGGGCAGAGGCTGGGGCAGGCAGAACCAGACAGGCAGGCAGCCGCGGGCAGAGCTGCCTGCGCTGGGGCGAGGGCAGGGCCTGCGAAGCCTGGTCCCGCCTCGCACGGTTTTCGGGCACCAAGAGCACGGGGAAAAGTAGGGCGCCGAGCGCCGGGGCGAAGAGCAGCTTGGCATCTTCAGGGCTGGGAAACCATCAGCCGGTCTCCAGCACTGGCAAGCCCCCCAGCCCATCTCTGCAGCCGTTGTGGGGAGCAGGGCAGTTTTTGGGGCCGTGGAGGGGCTGAGCTGTGCTGACCCCATCCTCTGTCCCCCCCCACAGAGTGGAGGCCTGCGGTGGTGCTGGCAGCCATCGACTGCGCTGACGAGGCCAACCAGCAGGTGTGCAACGATTTTGGGATAACCGGCTTCCCCACGCTGAAGGTAAGGGCCTGGCATGTGCTGGGCACGTGCCTGGTTTCGCTGCGCTTTGCCTTTCGGCCTGTCCTTTTCTTGCTCAATCGGACCAACAGGGCTATTGCACCAAAACACTCCCTTCGGGGCCTCGCGGGCTGGAGCTGTTTCACCCTTCCCCAAAACATAGCTGTGGCCGGGCTGCAGCTGGTGCAACTGGCTGGCTGGTGTAGCAACAAGGAAGGGGAACCAAACTGCTGCTTTGCGGTGAAACGTAGAGGCTGGATCTCTTCTAGGACAGGGAAGAGTCCGAAGGCTGAATTGGAAATGCCTGGGGAAGGTTGCCGGAGAGCAGAGAGCGGTTGCAGGCACGGTTTTTGGAGGAGGGCACAGGGATGCTGCAGAAGGCTGCATAGACCTCAACTGGGAGCCTCTGGCAGTGGCTGGCGAGGTGCCCTCCTTCCTCCTGGGCCCATGTGGGGTCCCTTAGCTGTGTCAACACGCCGTGTTTCCCACTGCAAACAGAGCCTTGCTCCAACACAAGCAATAAGGGTGAAGCACTCCCAGGTGCAAGCAGTGAAAGCCAGGATTGCCTTGAGATGGTACCAGAGGGATAAGGGTTTCGTCAGACGTGCCCTTAGTCCTGGCTTTACAGGCTCAACCCAAGGTGGGGTCAGATTTGGGCAGGTTGGCTTGTGCCCCAGCCCTGCTCTGGGGTCTCACCAAGCACCCACTGCCTGAGCGACCATCGCCCATGGGATATTGATTGAAACATCTGCTGGGGCAGGGAGACGTGCTGATGTGGCAGCGCCAAGAAGTCACTTGTTTCGCATCTCCTGACCCCGCCAAACACCTTTTGCAAACAGCTCCTGCTCCCAGCCCAGCCTGCAAAGCAAACACTGGTCTGACGCAACCCGGTTTCGCTGTGCCACCAGCACCGCTGTGTGAGGCCAGGAGCAGGTGCAGTGTGGGGATAAACTCCCTTCTCCCGCTTCATGAGAGCTCTGGAGCAGGGAGAGACAGCGGTTTGCAGGACCAGGAAGGTCCTGTGCCTCCCTGGGTCCCCTGGTAGTACCTGCCCCACCTCAGCTGGACATGGCTCCTGCCCCGAGCCTTCATCCCTCCCCTCTAGGGACGCCCCATGAGATGAAGCCATGACCAGGAGCTCCCTCTGTGATGGCTGGTGTCGGTCAGCATGCTGTAATGTTGTGGGGAAACTGAGGCAGAGCCAGTCTAGGAGGAGCCTCTGCCTGCTGGGCCGTGCTGCCTACCTGTCCTCCTCCAAAAGCTCTCATTCCAGCTTCCCCACATATGGCTTTTTGTTCCCTTTCAGTTCTTCCGAGCTTTTAGCAAGAAGGCAGAGGATGGGATAAGGATTACCAGTGAGTATCATTGCCACAAGGGTCTTTTACCCTGGGTGTGAATGACCCTGCTGCCTGCCTTCTCCGTGTGTTGAGAGCTAGGAGAGCCTGGCGGGGAGAAGCTCTGAGCAACTCCTCTTGGCTCAGCCCATGGGACTGGCTTCCCCCAGTTCTGACCTCTTGGTATCCTGTCCCCCTGCAGATCCCAGCGCCACCGTCGAGGACCTGCGTCATGCCATCATCACCAACCTGGAGCAAAGCCAGGATGCCTGGCCACCCTCCTGTCCTCCACTGGAGCCGGCGAGGTAGGGGTGGTGTGATGGCGAGGAGAAGGGATTCCAGCAGCCCTTGTCCCACCAAGAGCCAATTTCTGGGAAAACTGTGATCCAAAAATGAGCATGGAAGAGCTGCTGCACCACCCACATCCCAGGGAGACACAGATGACTTCACTGGGCTAGGGCCATTTACATGGTTGTCCCAGGGGAGGGTGTTTGGCTTTCCTAAAGCGATGGTCAGGCTGGGGTTGTGCTTCAGGTCTCCTGTACTTCCATGTCCTAGCCAAAAAACCAGCAGCCCTAGTTGAAGTTCATTACCATTTTTTTCCACCTGGGTGAACATGCAGCTCCCTCCTGCCCTGCCCTGCCCTGGCCACGCTTTGTTTTCTGCCTCCTTGGCTGACCCTGGTGGGTTTTCTCAAAGCTTGTGAACTGGAGCAGAAAACTGGGCTGGGGATTTCAGCGGGGAGGAGGAATTGGCCGCTTGGTGGGGCTGAACCTGCACCGGCATCCTCTGCTGAATCCCCAGGGAGGAGGGATGAGCTCCTTTTGGGCAGAAGGACAGAGCACCCAGCAGATGCCAAAGCACCTGCTGCCACCCTCTTCTCTCTTGCAGCACAGAGGAGGTTCGCAGCTTCTTCCAGAGGAACAAGGACCAGTACCTGGCACTGATCTTCGAGAAGAGCGACTCCTTTGTTGGCAGAGAGGTGGGTACAGTTGCATTTAGCCCCCACTTCTCTTGAAGTCCATGTCCTGGGTGCCTTTGGCCAGAGAAGTCCCCTCCTGGCAACCTCCCTGGTTGGCCCACACACCCTTTGCAGGCGTGAAGGTTTATACAGGATGCTAAATAGCCCTGCTGCATCCCTGGTGGGGCTGGGGCTCCTGCCACCCCCTCATCTTGACCCTGGGGCCTCTGGGTTTGTAGGTGGCACTGGACATGCTGCAGTATGAGAACGTGGCAGTGAGGAGGGCGCTGAGCAGCGAGAAGGAGCTCGTGGAGAAGTTTGGCGTCACCACCTTCCCCTCTGGCTACCTGCTCTTCCGCAACGGCTCCTTCTCCCGCCTGCCTGTGTGAGTGGGGGACATGGAGGGGGGTCTGGGGACCCTGGTGGGGTGCCAGGCTTGTGCCCCATCTCTTTCCATAATCGTGGGGAAGTTCCTTAGGAAGGAGACAGTGGCTGGGTCGGGCAGGTTGGCAGGGGGCTGCTGGTGGGCACTGATAGAAGGGACAATAGTTTGTGACTGTGCCATCACTCTGCCACATGTGCCTGGAGGTGGCATGGTGTGGCTGCCTGGGGCTCAGCTCTGCTCCAAGTTGTGTGCCATGATACCTACTGCTGGGGCAGGTGGAGAGTACAGACCACCCTGCACTCATTCCCCAGGTCCAAGTTGCTGGTCCAGCTAAGCCTTTGGTCTCCTTTGCTTCCTCCTGGGGGACAGGGAATGTCTGGGAAGGAAGAGGGTCTTGCCTCTTTTCACTGAAAGGGTTATCAGCCATTGGAATGGGCTGCCCAGGGAGGTGGTTGAGGCACCATCCCTGGAGGTGCTCAAAAGACGGGTTGATGTAGTGCTGGGAGGTCTGGTTTAGTGATGATGCTCCTTGTTTGTTGTGTGGGTGTCTATTTTTGTCAGTTAGGTTGACGGTTGGACAAGATGATCTTTAAGGTCCCTTCCAACCTAGAAGATTCTGTGATTCTGCTCATGGCATCTTCTTCCTTGCAGGCACGTGGAGGCGCGCTCCTTCTATACCTACTACCTGCGCACGCTCTCAGGTGTCACCCGTGGTTCCTACAAGCTGAACACAACGGCTGGTGCTGCCAATGAGACCAACACACCCCAACCGAAGCGTGCCGACCGGTCAGACCTCCCCTTCCATCCTTTTGTGGCTGTGGGACGCCGGGGCTGGTTGGAGGGAGGAGGTGCCGTGGGCGTGGGTGGGCAAAGGGCTGGGATCGTGCCTTTCCCCTGGGAAAAACCCTGACTGGTGGCTGTGTCCCTGGGGGTTGGGGGTTAACGGGGGCGGATGGACCATGGTGTTTCACTGCTCTCCCCAGCTCCAAGGTGTACATGGCTGACCTGGAGTCTGCGCTGCACTACTCGCTGCGGGTGGAGGCTGCCCGTGCCTCCGCGCTGTCGGGAGCCCAGCTGGCTGCCTTCAAGTGCTACGTGGCCACGCTTGTGAAGGTGAGGAGCTTTCGGTGTCCCTCCCACGTAGCCTCCACGTAGCTATTTATAAGGTGAAATGTAAATGCAGGGTGTGGGCCACCACGTCCCAGTGCTTACAGGTAGTGAAGCGTGGCGGTCTCGGATGTGAGCCCTGTTGGCCGCTGAGGTTCTCCAGACTCAGCCCAGAGTCCCAGTGGGAAGCAAGAGCAGGAGAGTTTGGGATGAGAGATGGGCAGAGCAGGATTGGCACTTGCAGGAGGTGTCGAGGCGGTTGGTCTTTTCAGAAGAGACACTGTCACCTGCTGGGCTGGTGGAGATGATCAGAGAGGTTTGTAACTCTGATCGCCTGACTTGGATGCTCGGCCCAGGGAGCTGATCTCTGTGGGTTCCTTTGATAGTCCAGGAAAGGGACTCTCACTCTGAGTCAGGCTCTGGAATAGCTTAATTTAAGGTCTCCTTTTTTCTTCTCTGTTGGGCTTGGTGAAATTGAAGTGTGTAGGAGCTTTGAGCCAACAGAAGCAGGGTAGTTTAATTTCACGGTGTGATGGGGCGCTGTGCTTGGCTGAGGTTTCCACCACTGGCTGCAGGAGCCCTGTCCCCATCCCCGTCCCTGTCCCTGTCTCAGCTTGGGCTCCTTGGCCAACCTTCACCTGTCCATACCCACCTTCTTTGCTCCCTCCTTTGCCTCCTCTCCTTGCCCCCAGCTATCACCCTCACTATTTCCCCCTTAAATGAGAACCACGGGGTGTTAGGGAAGTGAATCCCCCGTGGCACCAGCTCCCTGGCCAAGGGTACAAGTGGGGGCCAGCAGTGGTTTTATTTGATCAACTTCTAATGCTTCCTGCAAACCTTCCCCTCGCTGGCCAAGGACAAGCCACAGCAGCGGACCCGGCAAAGCTGCGTCCCCACCGCCGGCAGAGGGTCCAGGGGCGGTGGGTGGTGGGTGGTGGGGCTTCCCCGAGCATGATGAGGATGCTGGGCTGGTGCTGCCATTGCTGCGCTCATCCACAGGACGGAGCAGCGTCCCCAGGATTGCTGCCAGCCCTCAGCCAGTGTGTCCCAGCCTTAACTGTTGCCTCCCCGAGAGGTTTTTAAGGCAGCGAGGGAGGAGAAATCCTAAAGTGGAGAAAAGTGCCTGGAAAGCAGGGAATCGCGCCAGCAAAGCCCTCCTGCTGAAGGAGCAAGGGGGGGGAACTGCATTTTGCAGCAGAAGCATCAGGTTGTGGGTGAATTCCCCTGTGAATTTGGGATTTTTTTTGCGATTCCCCATGGGCCCGAGGAGAACAGCTCAGACATGGAAAAATACTCTTTCCTTTTGCTTCCCTGTCACTTCTCCTATGTGCTGCTGGTCTCGTCCTCCCTGTGGGTCAGTCCCTCTGTCTGTCCGTCGGTCTGTCGTCGATGGCAGGCGTTGGCTGGCTGCCCCCTCTCCCCAGAGTGCCTGGGGTTTTAAAGTGCTGCTGCTAATCGGCTTTGCAATGACTTATGGTCAGAGTGGCTTTTTGCCTCCCTCAGACGGGGCCGAGGTTCCAAGCCTGAACAGGCACACGGGAGCCTCACCACCATGGAGGGGGGACATGCCATGGCCCCCAGCCCCTTGGGGCTGGGCACTGAAACCTTGCTGGAACCACGCTGCCCTCCAGCACTGGATGCTGGTGCTGCCCAGTGCCCGTCCTGGTGAGCTGGGGGTGCCGACGGGCTGCCCCGCTGCTCCCAGGGTGAGGTCTGGGTTTCCTCACCCCTCTCTCCCCTCTGCAGTACTTCCCCGGGCGCTCTTGCGTGCAGACCTACCTGCAGTCCCTGGACACCTGGCTGAGGAACTGGACGGAGCCTGAGCTGCCCCGCAGCACCTTGAAGGAGGCCATGAAGAATAACAAAGATGTAAGGCACCCGCAGGGACCTTGGCCCCTGCTCTCCTCAACCCTGCCCCTTTCCCCCACCCCTCATTGTCCACCAGCTCCATCATGCCATGTCCATCTATCCTCCAGGCCTCCCACCCTGCTGTGCTCCCCACTAACGTGACCTGGGTGGGCTGCCAGGGCAGCGAACCCCACTTCCGTGGCTACCCCTGTGGGCTCTGGACCGTCTTCCACCTGCTGACTGTCCAGGCTGCCCAGAACGGTCCTGACAAAGGTACAGGTGTCACCAGGGGTGTTCAGGTCTTGGGGAGGGGGTCTCTGGACAGGTGGGTGCATGGGCAGGGATGGGCAAAGGTTGTCTCACCCCTGAGGCAGGTCTGGTGTGGGGGGCAAGAGCCAGAGGATCGGGGTGCAGGGGTGCCACCACGGCCATGGGGCTGTGGCAGTGGCATTGGTGGGTCTGGACTTGCCCTCCCAGCCCCCGGGGGGGGCAAGAGCCAGAGGGTCGGGGTGCAGGGGTGCCACCACGGCCGTGGGGCTGTGGCAGTGGCACTGGTGGGTCTGGACTTGCCCTCCCAGCCCCCTGGCTGTCTTCTGCCTCCCCCCAGAGCTGCCCCTGGAGGTGCTGAACACCATGCGCTGCTACGTCCGGCACTTCTTCGGCTGCCAGGAGTGTGCCCAGCACTTTGAGGCCATGGCGGCCGAGTCCATGGACCGGGTGGCGAGCCGAGAGGAGGCCGTCCTCTGGCTCTGGTCCCACCACAACGAGGTCAACGCTCGCCTGGCAGGTAAGGGGGACCACAAGGAAGGGGGACCCAGGGCGGGGGAAAAGGGGAGGCGATGTGGAGGAGCATCCCTCCTCCTGGATGGAGCTGGCAAATGGCTGCGTTAGGATTTCGAATCATAGAATCATAGAATCGTCTAGGTTGGAAGAGACCCTTGGGATCATCGAGTCCAACCATCTACCCTACTCTACAAAGTCCTCCCCTACACCATGTCCCTTAGCACTGCATCTAAACGGCCCTTAAACACAGCCAGGGATGGTGACTCCACCCCCTCCCTGGGCAGCCTGTTCCAATGCCCTATCACTCTTTCGGTGAAAAATTCTTTCCTAATGTTCAATCTAAACCTACCCTGTTGGAGCTTGAAGCCATTCCCTCTCATTCTGTCACTAATTACCTGTGAGAAGAGACCAGCACCAACCTCTCTACAGCGTCCTTTCACGAAGTTGTAGAGAGTGATGAGGTCTCCCCTAAGCCTCCTCTTCCTCATACTAAACAGTCCCAACTCCCTCAGCCGCTCCTCATACGATGCAGCAGTGGGGGACATCCTGTTGTCATCATCCCCCATCACAGGGGGACAGCAGCTGGTGGCGTGGCATCAGACTGCCCCGGAGACGCAGTTGAGTCTTACATGCTCCCTGCAGGGAGCTTCCCAAAGCTGCTGCGTGCCCTCAGAGGACCCCTACTCCCAAGACAGCTCCTCCAAATGTCCCCATCCCCAGCTGCTGGATGCTCCAGGGTGTTTTATAGCAGTACAGGGGGAGGGCTGTGTTGCGTGTCCCCTCTAACCCCCTCGCTGACTCCGGTCCTTGCAGGAGGTGACACGGAGGACCCCAACTTCCCCAAGCTGCAGTGGCCACCACCAGACATGTGTCCCCAGTGCCACAAGGAGGAGCGGGGGGTGCACGCCTGGGACGAGCAGGCTGTGTTCACCTTCCTCAAGGCCCACTTCTCCCCCACCAACATCTACCTCGACTATACCGAGGCTGAGCCCATCCCCATGGCTGGGGAGGAGACGGGCACCAGGCCGGGTACCGAGAGCCTGCGAGAGGAGAGGGAGAAGGAAGAGAAGGAAAAGGAGACGGAGGAGGAGATGAGAGCTCCAGGGCGACCAGGCTCCCCTGAGCCACGGCGCCCCAGCATCGTGCGGCTGAACCCCAGGCTGCGGGAGGCTGGAGAGGACATCGTGGACCTGGACTCCTTCAGCGAGCAGCACTTCAAGAGCCAGGCACTGCGAGCGGCGGCCAGCCGGCGCCGACGGCTCAGCAAGAGGGACACCATCGCCCTGCCCCGGGATGCTGGGGTGGGCCGGGAACGCCGGCGGGCTCCCGGTGTCCTGATCCGGGAGGAGGAGGAGGAGGAGGAAGCCGGGGAGGGTGTGCGGAGGACCCCATGGCTCCGGGTGCTTGGCTTGGGTTTCTCCCGCCTGGACATCAGCCTCTGCGTTGCCCTCTACTTCCTCTCCTCCATGTGCCTCCTGGGCATGTACACCTTCTTCCGTCTCCGCACCCGCGCCCGGAAAGGCCGCCCCGGCTTCCCCGTGGCCTGAGAGGGGTTGTGGGGTATTGGGGGGCTGCCCCCAGGGTGGGTGGGCTGCTGAGCCAAGGCACCCCTGGGGACAGCGTTTTGTCCCCCGGCGGGGAAGGGGTTTGGTGCATCCCCTCTGGGAGCTGCCCTGCTCGCAGCAGTCGCCTCACCCAGGGTGGAGGGCTCTTTTTGGGGCGGAAGGAGGTGTCAGAGCATCCCCCTCTTGAGTCATGGTGCCATATTTTCGGGGTGCACAGGAGCTGGGACACCGACAGCGCTTTGTGTCTCGGCATCCAGGTGCCCTCAGGATCTCCCCACCACTGTGCTGGTTTCAGACTGGGAAGCCCTGTCCCGTGCTGGGGAGCAGGCCTTTGGGGGTCAAACCACTAATGGGGCCAGGAGGGTGGAGGTGTAGCCCCAGAAAAAGCAGACACTGTCTGAGGGAGGGGTGGGGGGATGGCAGTCATGGGTTCAGCTGCATTTTGTGTGTTCTCCCCCTCTTTGAGAAATGGACCAGGGCCCCCCTGCCTTTCCTTCCTTCCCCCCCTTTCCCCTCACTGTTGCTCGCTCTCTGCTTGTCTTAGTGGAATAAATTATTTTTGCCGATGCCGGCCCCGCTGTGTCGGCTGGTCCCTGCTACACGGGCACACCAGGGTGGCACCTCCCTGCCCTGCCATCCCTCCCACACCGGCTGTCCCCACTCTGGTCTCCCCCATCACCCTGGGAAGAGCACTGGCTTGGTTTAAACCCTTTACGCGTTTTAAATTGTTACTATTGTACATTTTCTCCTGCTTTTCACTTCTAGATGGCACCCGTGGCCAAGCTGCCCCCTCATACAGCCAGCATGTCCCCGCGGTTGGGGTGGCTCATGGTATGTCCTCAAGCAGAGTGATGGGGAGGGGGGAAAGATGGGGGGGGAACAAGAAGCTGCTGGAAAAAATCAGCAGGAGCCATGGAGCTGTGGTTTGGTGCTGGCTGTGCCCGTGGTCCAGAGCAGGGAGACATCCGTGAGCATCCTCGCATCCCCCTCGGGACTGGGGCCCTCCGTGGGTGCGGGCCCCCTGCGCCTGTCCCCGATTCTCTCTGCCCTTTTATCCTTGTTAGGAATCATTAAGGAAAATGGTTGTTTTCCAGAGCCGGGGCCGGGGCCATCTGCTCTCCCGGCGCTGCCTAAATCCCCCTGTAACAAATTCATTGGGATTATGCTGCCCTCCCCTAATCCCGGCCCTTCCCCCCGCATGGGGGATTTAAAAGGATTAAAGCCCGGCCGATAATAAACTTTATTAAGGGGGAGGGGGGGTGTCAATCCGATTTGGAGCCTTTTTCTTGATATCTTCACTTTGCCCAGGTGGGAGGCGAGGGCCGGTGGGATGGGGAAGGAGGATGGTTGGCTCCGCTGCTGCCTGGGCACTGGGAGCTCTGGCCCTTCCTCCCTCACCTGCCCTGGAAATAAATATTCTTCCTCTGTCTTTTCCTTCTTCTTTGGTGTCTGTGCATGACTGGAGGTGGTGTGCATGCTGTCTGTCTGTCCTCTATGGGACATGGAGCTGCCAAACCTGCCCTGCCACCTCTGGCTCACTTGGCCTTGGCCATGTCCCTTAGCTGGGTCCTTGGTGGCCTCATCCTGACGTGGAGGGGGGCTGCATCCCCCCCCCAGCCGAGTGCTGGTCCTGCCCACCAGCGGGTGATGGATGGGGAAGGTCTCATGGCAGCAGCCCTGCTGCCTCCTTCTCCTTGATTTCCCTGGGGGACAAAGGGGAGGGGAGGGGGTTATCCCCAACATCAATAACCCCCTGTGCACCCCCTCCCTGCCAGCTGCTCCCCTGCCTGGGACTGGGATCCAGTGCTTGTGATGAGGGGGGCTGCCTGTGGTTACCTCCTGGCCCCAAAATATCTTGGTGGGGGTGCTGAAGCCAGGGGGAGGTGTTGGGGGGGTGCAGGGGATGA